AAGCTCTCTTCTATAATGTCCATTAACACCACAATTTTGCCTCCATTCTCCACCACTCCAGGCTGGTAATCTTTAAACAAATTCTTGGCCTAAAAAGGAAAATATTGAAATAGCATTATAGGGCAGCCTAAAAGAAAGCGAACGACAACCTGAAATGCGAAGACTTAGTGCCCGCTCACGAGAACCGAACCACAAGGGGTTTTTGCCGAGTAGAGTCTCCTTTTCGGGAGAAAATTTATTGCACGCAATTTCTAAGTTACGATAAGTCTAGCGGTGATGTACAAATTTATTGCTTAAAATAGACGAACTCTCTACTTTCTGCAACACAACAACCTGATTTGTTGCAAGACAGGTTTAAACGCGGCTGGTAAAACGCAAAACATCGCTATTCAACTGGTTTAGCAACAATCTTGCAAAACAAATTGGGCGTTTTTGTTGCTTAAGATCATGTTTTTCCACTATGAAAAAAAAAACATAAAAAAAACTAACCCATGTCATATCTTCCACAACAGGAGAGACACGGTCGCCAAGTGACTGAATGACGGGTACACATGTAGAATACTGTGTGGTACTCATTTGTGATACTGCTACAGTGTTTCCAGACAGTTGACTTGACACCATCTGCCTTAACTGTACAGTCGTCCTTAATACTGACTGGGCAGATGTTGAAGCCAGGTTCTGTGACATCGCACTCGTTGTCATTGCATTCGTGTTTATCTCCTGGTTAGCTGCAGAGCTTACGGTTTGCGGCAGGTTTAATGGAGACGCGCCTCTGTCATCCGAGCGGGAATTTTGAACACTGTCATTCCCACTAGCATCATCGAGAATGGTCTGAAAGCAAAAAAAAAAAGATTTTTAGAGACTTTAAGATCAGCCAAGACAACATCAGCGAGAACGTCAAAAAAGCAATAGGTTTAATGAGCAAAACAACTTTGCACGTGCAGCACGCATTTTTGTTGATTTCTTTGTCGTCACTGCACGACTACGACGTGCAAAGTTTTATAGAGGACATAAAGAAGTTACAACAAAATTTTATTTCGCTTTCTGAAATTGGATATGGTTCTTGGGAATTCAACACTAGGAGAGTTCGCCTACATTTCACAAAGTAAGTGAGTTCTTATATTCGCGGAGAAGATTGCAAAAACGCCAATTCACTTTTTATGCAACGTTTTTGCCGCTTTCGTCATCCACTAATCTTAAGGTCGCGTTTTATCGCCAACGTGAACATAAAACAAACGAAATCTCACTTTCTCCTTTTAAACTTGGATTTATATTTTTCTTAAGAATTCAACTCCAGGAGAGTTCGCGTACTTTAGGCAAAGTGAGCACGTTGGGATAATCGCGCTGAAGTTTCAAAGAACGCGAATTGACTTTTTATGCGACGTTTTCGCCGCTGCGCTGTTCTCGAATTTTGAGGTCCTCATTTCCTGACATCTAAAGTACCGTAAACAGCCGCTTATAAGCCATTGGCATAAACATCGTCATAAGCGGTTTTAGGAGCACTAATAAACGGAAGAGCTTATATCCGACTGGGCTTATAACCGGGACAGAAAAAGCGCTCCGAAACAAACTATAGCAGCGCTAATAAAAATAAGTTTTCATCTACTGGTTTTAAATGAAGCTTCAAAACTTCACTCATTTAACTGTACATAATATATTTACGTACCAAAGGCGACTCATTCCTGCTGTAGTTATTTTTCATATCCAATGATGAGTAAAAAATGTCTGGGTGATTCCAAATCTACAAGGCAATGCGACCCAAAAAATAATTTAGTCCGGCAACTTTTTATAATACAGTTAATAACTTTTCTAAACTAAACGGCGTCAGTTACTGAAAAAAAGGTGCCTTGTGTAAGCATTTGGCATAAGGTATGAACTGGATAGGAATAAAAACTCTCGTTTAATAAATTTCAGTTCTGAATTTCTGTAGCTTGAGAAAATAGCCGACGTTTCGCGAGGTCACCACTGGCTTCCGCGCGAAACGGCGTCTGAGAAATGAGTGCAGAAATTCCATACTGATGACGTGTCACTACCCAGATCTGGGTAGTACTTCTGATTGGTCGTGCCGCGTGGGAAATTTGCTTCAGTCAAGGTCCCGTCTCACAGCACTATCACTGATCGAAAAGAGTGGGGGACGTAGACCCCGGTGGTGTGGCCAACCTTCACGGGTTGTGGGGTTGGGCAGGGATGGCACCTTGCTTGGGACCTATGTGTCCCGTTCGTGCCTATTCCCTCTGGGCAGACCTGTCTCGAGAAAAGCTGGTAAAATAAAAATGAAATAAAAAATAAATAAATTGAAGGTTTGACTGTGCCAAAAATATAGATACCTTTGTGCAAGTGTGGAAACCCTTGATTGGATTGATATGTCCCACTGACCCTAACAGACCTTCAACAAAGCCATTATACAGCTCTTTTTGGATTGGCGACATATTCACCAGAATGATATGTTCTTCTTTCTTTGGGAGACACTTTGTCAGAACAGCTTGACTCCTCCTACACAAGAAAAAAGGCATACGTTTATGTATAATGGTTTATCAGTTGACTGTCCGGAAATTACAGAAACCATCAATCAATTAAAATTAAACTGGAGAGTTGTTTTCATGTAATGGTGTAATACTGAACTTCTCTCAGAGGTCTTAGTGATTTCAGTGAACACGTAGGATTCAACCTTTACTTAAGCCACCTTCCAGAGCCCTGTTTAACGAGCATGCTGAAAAACGTGGTTGGCATGCTTAACTTGACTGAAATGCTAACATCTAACTAGTCTTTGAGCAGGTTTGCCTTGGTAATTTCGGGCTTTGCCAGCACTGATGGCTCTGCTGCCAACACTTTCACCCAAAACGCACAATTGAGCCTCCTTGCAGGTCAAGATCTAACTGCATTACAGGACTAACCTTTGGACAAATCCTTCAAGCAAGCTGTGGAGAACATGGGCTCTGTATCGCATTACCTTTACGTCCTATAAAAAGGCAAATTAATGAAGAAAACAAATGCAAAGAGTTGCAAGGTTAACCTTTTAAGCCCCAATATCCACATACCAATTCTCCAAACTGAATGATATTCATTGATTTATTTGAAAAACTAGTTGAGAGAATTTGATAAAAGATCAAAGCACTCTCTCTTTGGTGCTGTAATCTTTTCTCTTGACATTGCTTGGATTATTGTTAGGAGAACTTTGATGTTGGTCGCTATTGGGACTTTGAGGGTTAATGCTTTTGCCCCTGAAACACCTGTAACCACCTGTGAAGATCAATGTCCGTTCTACCACTTGTAAAGTCCTCCGTTTTAACAGTCAAGGACAACTTTGTCATTGATCTTGTGCACATTGAAGAGATCTTTCAAGCTATATCATAATGGTATGATCTCTAGGAAAGATAACAAACCTAAGCTACCTACATCTTTAAAAAAACAGTTCTGCTGATGACATGTGTTCAGTTGAATGTTGAAACTAAGGACACTCATCATTTTGTTAGAACTGGCTGTACAGACCAGTGCCATCATAAGGAGAATTCCTCTATTAATCAGGACTGTCCAGCCAGATTAGTGTACTTGTAAATGGTATCCACGGACATGATGGGTTTTAGGGAAAATTTCAAGAAAAGACTAACATTTCATTTCTTAAATGATCGGTCAGACTGGCCAGTTCTCATCTTTGGAGAGGGCACTAAGCGTCTGACTTTGTAAAGAACCAGGGAACCTACGTTTCTGGGAAGCTGCCCTCCTACCCCTCCCCTACACCAACATCAACACTTACTTCTCACTTAGGGCAAAATGTTGGCTTAGGGGAGGGGTAGGTGGACAGTTTCCCAGAAACGTATAATGATCCTATATAACTTACTGAAGGAGTACTATCAGTGCATTGTCCATTAAGTATTGGCCTTTCAAACATGTTGCAGAACTCCTGTTTATTGCCAAGAAAATTGGGTCGCACAAAATCCACCATGCACCAGTATTCCTGGAGGTTGTTCTGCAGTGGGTAACCAGTTAAGACGACACGACGCCTAAAAACGTAATAAGCTTAGTCCCACTATTAACATTCACATTTTCCTTGTTGTTCTTCACATTAACACACACATTTATAGCAACTCCCCACCTACAATGTATCTTGAAATTTTGAAGAAAAAGTTTTGGTCAAAAATGTTTCTTAACCAAGTACATCCGAGTAAAAGCTTAACTTTGCATTCAACTCACTCAAACCTCAACCACTCATGTGGAACCTAAGTTCCCTTGTACTTCATGTGCTGTCATTGATAATAATTCTAAGGAGGGTTTAGGTACTATTGTCTTTTTTCTCAAGATAATCAGCAGAAAAAAGCTCAACTAGCTTCAAACAGCTTTTTCAGCACAATTTCCACGGGTGAATGGGTTAATAAAATGTATGTTTAAGTAAAAAACTGTATCACTACGCAACAATGATATACCAGTAATAAGTATATTGAATAAAAAACTCAAACAAGTATTTTTTTAAGCCCTGAAGAGTAGGAAAAACCTTGTCTCCAGCACTTTTTCATTCAGTTAATTGTGTGGTCACTATATGTATTTTGTTTGTTTAGAGATGTGATCACTCATTAGAAGTCCTTATGGCAAATTAATTTTCATTTTAGGGGTCGCAGGGCAACAAGTGAGTGCCATCCAGTAGCCTGGGACAAGTAGATTTTCTTGCCGGGTGAGTTACTTTTAAAGATTACTAGCCCAATAGTCAAGAGTCCAGGCAAGTCATACTCTCACAAAATTATAAAGCCTTTCACTCCCAGGAGTGACTTAAGTCAAATTTTGTCAAACTTTTCAATTTATTCACTTTGTAAAATGCCAAAAAACCAATAGCAGCATGTGAAAGTACTGCCAAAAAGGTTTCATTTGAATGGCCACACCATAGGAGTTCGTCCACAGACTCAAAAGTTAGAACTACATACTAAATAAATAGTACCATGTGAAAGTACTGCTAAAGAGGTTTCATTTGAATGGTAACACCATAGGATTTAGTCCACAGACTCTAAAGTTAGAATCACCTTAAAAGACTTCTTCATTCGTTCTGGTGGTGTAAGGGTTAACTAAGACGAGCACAAAGTGGCCCTGGGCAAGCCCAGGAGTAGGTGTCACTTTTTTGAAAAGTGGTAATGCACAGGTAACCAAAAATGTATCACACATGGAAGAACAACTGTACTTAACAGTGATTTTGTTACCTCTGCATCCTGCGCCCCTGACGCATAAAAAGTGTAAAAGAAACAAAATAATTCATGGCATGTGTCCCATGGGACGCAAAGGTCAATTGATCGATCTGAAGATGTTTATGTAGAATATCCTGTTTGTATGATTTCTGTGGCTGTTCTTATGGCTGTTGTTTATCAAGATATATTTCTTTTCGTCTTTGTTGTGCTTTACGATGGAAGGAGTTTTTTTATTCCATTAAACTGTAATACAGAGTTTTGAAGTCTGTCCTCNTTAATTGTGTGGTCACTATATGTATTTTGTTTGTTTAGAGATGTGATCACTCATTAGAAGTCCTTATGGCAAATTAATTTTCATTTTAGGGGTCGCAGGGCAACAAGTGAGTGCCATCCAGTAGCCTGGGACAAGTAGATTTTCTTGCCGGGTGAGTTACTTTTAAAGATTACTAGCCCAATAGTCAAGAGTCCAGGCAAGTCATACTCTCACAAAATTATAAAGCCTTTCACTCCCAGGAGTGACTTAAGTCAAATTTTGTCAAACTTTTCAATTTATTCACTTTGTAAAATGCCAAAAAACCAATAGCAGCATGTGAAAGTACTGCCAAAAAGGTTTCATTTGAATGGCCACACCATAGGAGTTCGTCCACAGACTCAAAAGTTAGAACTACATACTAAATAAATAGTACCATGTGAAAGTACTGCTAAAGAGGTTTCATTTGAATGGTAACACCATAGGATTTAGTCCACAGACTCTAAAGTTAGAATCACCTTAAAAGACTTCTTCATTCGTTCTGGTGGTGTAAGGGTTAACTAAGACGAGCACAAAGTGGCCCTGGGCAAGCCCAGGAGTAGGTGTCACTTTTTTGAAAAGTGGTAATGCACAGGTAACCAAAAATGTATCACACATGGAAGAACAACTGTACTTAACAGTGATTTTGTTACCTCTGCATCCTGCGCCCCTGACGCATAAAAAGTGCAAAAGAAACAAAATAATTCATGGCATGTGTCCAAAGGGATGCAAAGGTCAATTGATCGATCTGAAGATGTTTATGTAGAATATCCTGTTTGTATGATTTCTGTGGCTGTTCTTGTGGCTGTTGTTTATCAAGATATATTTCTTTTCGTCTTTGTTGTGCTTTATGATGGAAGGAGTTTTTTATTTCAGTAAACTGTAATACAGAGTTGTGGAGTCTGCCTTTGGAATAATTGTCTGTATGGTTATATAAAAGCCCAAACAAATTCAGTTTAGGACTCACTGTTTTTTTTAACTGGGACTCAATAGTTCTGGACTAGCACTCATGATTTTTTGCATGATGAGTCCCAGGACTCACCATAACTATTTGTAACGAAATCACTGAGTTAACATACCTGGTGTGGATTTTTTTCAAGGCTTGTGAAATATTTGCCTGATCATTTTTGATTCTGTGTCCTTCATCACAAATCACCAGATCAGCACCGGGCCTACAAAGAGCTTTCTGTACTCCTGAAAAAATATTAGGATGAGTACACATGATAAGTCATTGCCTTCTGCTCGCAAAAAAATTGTCTTAATAATGCTTCATTATTCTTGATCAAGAAACTTTTAGTAAGATGCAAGACTATCAGGAGAGGATCAAAATATCCAGCGTGCAAAGTGATGTCCCATAGCCTAGGGATTTTGCTACCGGGCTAGTAAATTCTGTTCTTAACTTGCCCACCAAGTTTTTTGGGGAATTCAAATTACAGAAGAACTGTAATCAATGCTCATCAAAACTTTTTTGGGCTAGTACATACTATATTAGCTACAGCTTGCCCAAATGGCAAACCGACTTCCTTTGCACCGTGATACCCCTATTCTTAGTTTTCACATGAAGTCACCAAAATTCAAATGAAGGAATTATCGATTCTTCTGAATTTCTATTTTCATGAGGTGTTACAGCAGCTAAACACCTATATTTAAACAAGGTTTTGGTTCTAAAGGGTTCTCCGTTTTGGAATAGAGGACACTTGAAAACTGACTACAGTCAAACCTCCACGAACAGCCACCTTTTTTGGCAGACAGTCCATACATTAACACCTGTTTAAACCTCTCTACAACAGCCACCTCTCTACCACTTTCTTCTGTTCCCAACGTGACCGTTATGGAGGAGTTCAGAAACAGATAATGTGCAGCAAAGTTTCTTGGTCACAAAAACAATATGAGGATCAAATCCCCATCAAGTTGCAAAAATATTGTTTTTACTCCAATAACGATGATTACAGCACATGAATAACATCTTAAAAAAGAGCTTTAAATGCCATTATCCACCAAAAATAACATTAGAGGCATAAACATTTCTGCATGACCCATGTC